ACGCCCAGCTCCAGTGGAGCACCAGGCACAGGGGGGTGCCACGGAGTCAATGCAGGTGTGGCTCAGCCCCACTTGGCCCACAGCATCACATGCTGGATAAGGGCGGGCCTTGGAGCAGTAAAGGAAGCCCTCCTCCCTGCCCCCCTCGGAAGGCACATCTCGGCCTTTCGGCTAAGATCAGTGTGGAAAGGAGACAGACACACTGTAGCTGTTTTCTGGTGGTTGCCGGCTAGCTCTCGCCCTCACGCCCGTCTCTGACAGGGTTTACCAGCGTGGACTGGTCTCAGGAATCTGTGCTACCCCAAGGACACCTTCGCCGAGGGCGTGGGGAGAGCTGTGGGGGGTGGGGGTGCGCTGCTTCTCACGGCCCCTCATTGTGCGCCTCCGTGATGAGGGGGCTGGGGCACGGTCGCCCACCACTGTCACGTCCTGCTGCCAGCATCTGCTCTCTGTGCTTCCAGTCCCACATGGGGACCATTGTGGGGACACAGGAGAGCGATCCCCCCGATGATAAGCCTCCCCTCCCTGATGATAAGCCAGGAGCTAGCGGAGAAGTCAGCAGTGCTGGGCTGCAACCCCTCCACGGGGCCCACCCTGCGAGGCTGAGTTGCACTGGCTTTCCTGAGAGGGCTGACCGAGACTTGGTGGCCATGGGATTCTGCTCTTTCTCTTCCGTGAAAGGGGAGAGACTTTATATAAACCCCGTATCACTGCAAAACCAAGCTCTAGATCAAAACGAACGAGCCACAGCGAAGCGGAGCTGAGAAAGAGGACGGAGCGTCAGTTAGCGAGAAGAGCTTACTGTACGGCACGGGATCTAAGAGGCGAGGATGGTGGTGTTCCCAGCGGTGGCCCTTCGCTCTGGGCGGACGGACGTGCGTGCCCCGTGATCTCCAGAGGCTGCCCAGAGTCGTGTGGCTGTCCGTCACCCAAGCGCTCTTGGCTCCCCGAGGGGGTGAGATGAAGCCCGAGGCCCGAGGCTCAAGGAGCTCAGCATCTTCCAGGAGCCCTTGGGGTCAGGACATGCAGGCATGCTCCGTGGAGGCCAGATCTGCCTTCACACATGTGCGGCCACTGCTCCAAAGCAGGGAAGTGCCTTGGACTGTGCAGGTGGGACAGGGCGGCGAGGTCCCTGAGCGTAGATGCCCTGGCCCATGGCTGGGGGCATCCGTGCACACAGGACTGTTCATTAGAGACCTGCCCCCTCTTGGTGAGTAGGGAGAAATGGGTCAAACAGGCCTCCCTTCTTACCTGCCCAGAGCTCGGAGGCGAGATGAGGGGCCATCGGGGCGGCCATCACGATCAGGGCACACAGAGCATCCTCAAACTCAGGGCTGTGCAGGACCACCCGTGGAGACGCTTGCTGAGGAGAGAGAAGGACCACCCACCGTGTGAGGATGCCGAGGCATCCCAAGTAAGGACAGGCCAAGCAAGGGTGCTGACCAAGTTTTCAGGCACCAAGTCGACCCTGGGTGACCGAGTGGAACTGCTCCTTAGGGTTCCCTGGGCTGACCATCTTTGCAGAACCAGACTGCCGCCTCTGCCTCCTGTGGAGGGGCTGACGGATTCGAACCACCAACTTTTCCATTAGTGGCCCAC